TGTATTTTAATAGAAATAAAAAAAACTAAAGATCTGGCAAAAATCTTTTCTTGATGTACTGTGCATAAAAAGGCAAGAAATGTATTGATTGAGCTGTAAAAAATACTATACTCGTACAGTAAAGTTTCCATGCATCTTACATGACAATTTAACTTAGATTACCACATACCTGCCACCAGATTTTATTATGGAAACTGTAGTGTGTATGAATGAACCCGCTAGCAGCCAGGACGAGTGTCACCAGCACCAGACACACTGTGACAACACTACGCCGCCACTTTTAAAAACCGAGTGTCACTGCACTCACTAACCACAATGACACCAACACCTTAGCAACAAAAATTAGTGTTTTTATTTATATAAATTTTATTTCTTATTGCACTCTAGTCATCTTTCAAAATGGGGACAGAAAACTATAGCTCTCATGGAAAATTTTTTAAATCCTCAATAAATTTTCTGAATTTTCATACATGTGCTACATCGATAAGAAAAATTTGACAATCATATTATCACAATGTTGCGGAATAATGTGTATAACACTCGAATTTAAATGCACATGCTATGGTCATTATAATATTACTGTAATAAGCGCACTTAAAAACATTGTCAGTAAGCTGTAAATAAGGGCATCAACGGAAATAAGTCACTCTGACCTGAGTAATTCTAAGTTTTGCTCTACATTATGTATAATATATATGATACAGATGTGCTCGGGTATGTTTTTCCCTTTCGAGGTGAAATGCCTTGAAGCTTTCATACTACATTCCCAAAAGTGGAGAGGCTTTGGAGTTTGGACTGTTGAAGCCTTTATCACTGATCTAATAATTAAAAGATTCTACCTCAAGAGCTTTTTATCTTAGAATTTTAAATGTTGTGGACAAAATAGCAAAGATGTGTATTGTTAAAACACAATCCAAATGAATTTACCTGAAAAAACCTGATTTTACACAAATATCTTGTAAAAATAGTAAAAAAAAAAACATCTGTGCACTCCATTATCTTTAAAATGTTCTAAAAGCTGAAAAATCTAGAAAGGATGGAACCATATCAAAACTGTGTATGTATTTTATTTGTGACTCATTTGGTAGAAGGGGTCATTTCAATGGGAAGATCCAGAAGGGGTGATCCCCCGCCATTTCATTTAGAAGACTTAAAAGGGAATCATAAAATGACTGAAAACCATGCAGCTGTGGCCCTCGACAATCTTGTCCCAGCAAGCAACATCTCTGTCCCAGGGCCATTTACCTGATGTCATACACATAATGGCACTCGTAAATTTTTATGCAACGCACAAAATTTTCATTTTGGCTTTCATACATTTATCATAGTTCAGCAATAGTAAGTGACTTGTATACTGTGATTGTAATTCAGTATACAACACTATATGAATTTTAATATATATATTTTATATATATATATATATATATATTTTATATATATATATATATAATATTTTATATATATATATATATATATATATAAAATATATTATATATATATATTTCAGTGGACCCCCGCATAACGATGGCTCACATAGCGATTATTTCGCATACCGCTTACTTTTAAACGCAAAATTTTTGCCGCGCATACCGATTAAAAAAACCCCCTCAACCGATTTCGTTTGAGACGCGTCCAATGTGCGCCCTCACCCCGCCCTCACATGTGCCCCCCGTTGCCATTGTTTACCAGCCAGCCTCCGCGCTAACATCCAAGCATACACTCGGGAAAATTTCTATTATTACAGTGTTTTCGGTGGTTTTTTTGGAAAATAAGTGACCTGGGCCCCAAGAAAGCTTCTAGTGCCAACCGAACACCAATAAGGGTAAGGATACCCATTGAAATGAAGAAAGAGATCATTTATAAGTATGAAAGTGGAGGTGCGTATTGCCGACCTAGTCAAGTTGTACAAGAAACCCCAATCAACATCGGCTACTATTGTGGGCCCAAAAGACAATCAAGGGGAAGCTGTTGTTGCCAAAGGTTTAAATGTGTTTCGAAACAAAGATCGCAATATGGAAGATTTGGAGATTTTTGGGGTGGATAATGAAAAACACTAGCGGATAGCGCTCTCAAAAGATCATAGTGAAAAGGGTAGGAAGTTGCATTTATTTAAT